TCCTGCTGATATTTTTGGAGCAAATATCAAAACTGAGCTGCTTAATCTACAGTAAATTACAGAAAATAGCAAAAGTCATAAAAGCTTTGTTGACTAGATCTAGGTTTTTAGCCACTATTTCCTGTTAACTTTGGGTGGTTGGTACTAACTTTTTTTATCTGGAAAATATCCCTATTTTATTGTATTTTAAAGAAATAGAATGGATGCTCTAATGAATAATTCTCTTACTGATATTTTTGTAAGGTTTGATATCATTGGACTTTCTCCAGATTCACAGGAAGATGAAGCTGGGATCAAGCAGGCAGCGGAGAATGGTATGCTTAGGAATAATTTTTAGGGCTTAAAAATGCTTCCATGTATTCTTAAAAATGAGTTATCATTCTGAAACAGATTTTCCTAAGATAGTTAGGGAAAGGAATATGTATGTATTGCTGACTAAAATTTTGCAAAGTGCATAGTCAGTTTTGTGTGTTTAGTTTTTGTAAACTTCTTAAGCAGGTAGAGTGATTCACCAGTAGAAACACTTCATACTCTCAAATAGAAAATGTACATGAGAACCAGTGTAATTTTTTTAAGAGCTTCTAGGTAGCACACAGGTTAGAGCTGTATGAGCATCCACTTGTAATGCTGGATGGTTAGAAGAGGATACCTTCTTCCTGGCAGTGGGGCTTTTGCGAGACTTACTTGCATGGTTTTCTCTTTGGAAATGCTACAGTGGCACTGGAATTTTGGATCATGCTCCAGATCTTTTCATGTTTTTTAATGTTAATGCAGGCTAGATTTTCCTTTTGCTAGCTTTCTGTTGACATCAGGGAGAAGGTCTCTTTCCTCCTCTAGACTTCCTACAGAATGGAGTGGTTTATAACTACTGGTGTCTGTTTATATTGCAGTGAAAGCACTAATAGATCAAGAAGTAAAAAATGGAATCCCTTCTAATAGAATTATTCTAGGAGGCTTTTCTCAGGTAAGGTGTTGTTGGAAGGAACTGTGTCTGTTTCTATGGTTGTAACCTATCTTCCTTAACATAGGAAATCCACACATTCAATATGAAAATAGCTGCTTATAAAATGTTAAGGTGTCAATTTTCCTTTCCCTTAACAAGTGAAGCTTTTTGGTTTCATGCAAATAATTACTACTCACTGGAAACTGAATGTGCATGTGGAAAAAATATTCTAAAATTCATAATCTGTTCAAAGTCTCCATGCACATAACTTACATAGTGTTGCTTGAAAATCTTGCTAGTATTTTGAATTTAATTTTAATTTGGTAGACATTTGATTTGGGAAATCCTTCCCTTCATACTTGTCAGACATCTGTTGGAGGTTAATAGATTTAATTAGTCCATATACCAGCTCCCCAGTCTGCATGCAAGTAAATTATAATACTGAAGTAGTGATAATACTGTCAGGAGTGATAGTGCTTTTTTCATGTTTTGGGTTTTTTGATTGTTGGGGGTTTTTAGTTTGTTGTTTGGTTGGGTTATTTTCCCCAGCTGTTAGTTACAGTAAATTTGCTGGTTTACTTTTGAATTGATCATATAGACTGGGGTGGGGAGAACAAAATAGATGTTGTACAGGATACTGGGTTTAGTGTTGGTTCTAAAATAAAATGGATAGAAATAGAAAAACACATTTAAATGAGAAACCGGAGATCTTGAAACAAGCATTGAAAAGAACATTACCATCACCTTTCTAATAGTTTTCTCTCTTTATTTTAGGGAGGTGCTTTATCATTGTATACAGCTCTTACAACACAACAAAAATTAGCAGGTGTTGTAGCCCTCAGCTGTTGGCTTCCTCTACGGGCTTCTTTTCCTCAGGTATTTTATGTTTCTTTCCTAAGATAACTTGCACCTGGGGAATGAGCATATCTGAGTACTGTGTCTTGTGCAGGAATTAGTGACCATTGTTAATACCAAATATAGACATTTGTTTGATAACTCAGAAGTTTTTAAAATAGGGCCCTGGCATTTTAGAGTTTGGCAAGTAGGGAAAACGAAGAAATACTCAGTAGCCATCTCTGCTTACAATGACATTCCAAGGAAACTTAAAGGATACAGCAAATCTTCCTTGAAGGTGAATTTTCTATTTGCCATTTGTTCCATCTGCAAGTCACTAAGTTATTAGAAACTAGGTATTTAAACCAAAGTATTGAGACTTTATTTGGCAAAAAATAATGTTCTTCTGAAATTAGTGCCAAAATTTTATTTGCAGGTTTTGGAATGCAATGTGTTGTCAGGCACAGAGCTTATTTTATAAGGAACTTGCAGACTACACATTGTGGTTTTTTCCTTCAGAACTCAATTTCTTTGTCATGTCACAGGGCACAGTGCCATGGCTTTATTTTATCTCAAATGTTAGCCTTATTTCCACTTACTGACTTTCTTCTCTCCTCTAATTCCACCTGTAAAAGGGTCCTATCAGTGGTATCAACAAGGAGATTGCTGTTCTTCAGTGCCATGGGGACTGTGACCCATTGGTTCCTTTAATGTTTGGTTCTCTCACTGTTGAGAAGCTAAAGAGTATGATAAATCCTGCCAACGTAACCTTCAGGACTTACTCTGGCATGATGCATAGCTCCTGTATTGAGGTAATTTTCTTAAAATGCAATGCTTTAGCTGAGTATGTTTGTGGTTTTTTTTCCTCAAATACATATTGGGTAGCAGGTTTGTTTTCCATTTATTTATTTAGTAATAAACAAGTGTTTGATGCTGCTGACTTATTTTAGTAGCTGAAAAAGCCTCCAAGGCATAAACATTTTCATAAGGCTTTATTTTGGGGGCTAAGCTAGTTATTCTATACATTTACTTTTTTCCCCTCATTTTTATTACTTGGTTCCTAAAAAAACCTCACAAAATTGGAAGGCAGATTCTCACAGCATAAATCCAACCTGGTGTTTTGGAGAGAAGAATCTTGTAGTTCTTGGGATGGAGACATTGACAGAGTGGGGATGGAGGGTTGATGATACAGAAGAGGCAGCCTCAGAACCTGTATTTATGGTTCTGTCTCTGCAGGCAGCTGAGCTGATGTAATGACTTGTTGCTGCCGGAAAGGAGTGGACTAGTTCCCTCTGCTAATGACCTTGTAGCTCTCTCTTCCTTCTTGCTACAGCTCTGGAGCTGATCAGGAGCTTATTGGAACAATTTCAACTTACTAAAATGACAAAAGCTGCTGGCTTCAGTTTTTGCAGTTGTAGTGAGTTGAAGAAGCATCAGAACATAAAGTAAATGGTAGGAGCAGGAAACAAGAGGAAGCAAGGGATGAGTCTGCCATTTGTCAGCATCAGTAACTTTGTTAATTTGGGTTGCAGTATCTTGTGGGAACAGTACCTTTGGACAACCCCTTTGGGACATTTACACAGTTGTATTGCATTTAAGACAGTAAGAGCATTGACTTGTCACACAAGTGTATTAAAAATGTGTTCTTTCTTATGACATTGACTTAATTTTAAAAATTTAAGTTATTTTTAACATAGATTGATTTCCAAGCCTAGTTTGCAGTATTGCTTTTCATTAAGGTAGGAAACATCATTAAGGTGAAACTGTATAGTTAGAGTTGCTGGATTTTCATACTGCTACTAATTTTCAAATGTTTGAAGTATTCCAGAAGTTATGGCCTCAGCTACTTTAAAATCCTACCCATGCTCAGCCTGGTGCTGTTCAGATCACTTAGTAATTGATATGTAGCTTGCAAGCTCAATTTCATAGAGAGAGGAAAAAAGTAGTCTTAGCTCTTTTCCTTGTATTTTAGCTTCTGAGTGCGTAGTGCCTTGAAGAGTTGTCAGCCTTGACTTAACTGTGTGCAAAGTGGTGTGATTTTATCAAGTAACTAATTCCTTAATATTTGTATCCCAGCTGCTCATTATAATGGAAATGTTGAACCATAGTTTTGTGTAGCTGAATACATATTACTAGGGAACTTCAACTAATACATACTTTTATCTTATCTTAACAGGAGATGATGGATATAAAAGAGTTCATAGACAAACATCTACCTCCCATAGACTGAAATGATACGTGAGAAGCCTTCTATATAACACCAGCATCAACTGTGGTAGAGTGTTAATCTTTTCATATGCCTGATAGGAAGCATCACTTCTATACCTGCAGTGTTACTACTGTGTTGCAAATTTATACTTAGGATGAGGATTAAATAATAACACGTGTACAAGAAATTATAATCTTTTTAGTATTAACTGTCCACTGGTGGGACTATATGAATGAGGCAGCTAGGTGACAATGACAGAATGTAACCAAAGCATACTGTTTAAGATGTGATTTTTTTTTTTTTTGATTGCAGAATTTTAAACTATTTGTACAAGTAATTAAAAAACTAAATATACGTGAGCAACATAAATGCGACCAGTTTAGTTGTATTTGGGATGTGGTTTCTTCTTAATACTTATTGAGAACATATTAAAACATTTCATTTATGTAATGGATGCATAAAGTACACAACATGTAACATAGTGGGCATATAATGATGAAATAAATGTTACCAAGGACAAAGTTTTAAGTATTAAATGTTAATTTTTACTCCAGATAAGGAGGGTTCTCCTACAATGACTAGAAGTCAGCAGAGTTATTTCCTAGATTTAAACCACTTCAATTTTAAACTTTTTTCATGTAGGTAGGTATTATGAAAATTCTTAAGGGACTCATTTATAATGGTCATTTGTCTTTTTTTTATTACTATTAACTCACATCAAATGCTGACTTGGAACAGAATTCTGAAGAAGTGTGTAGGATTAATTTGAGTTTCATGTAAAAATTCCTGTTTTCATACTGAATATTCAAGTTTTGCTTTAGTCTTTTTAGCTTATGTTTGTGTAGAAATGCTCATGTAAAACAGATCATCAACAATTCCAGCCTATAGTTTTGATTTTTCTGTTTGCTTTGGAGTTTGATGATCTGTTTTACATGAGCAATTCCAGCATATAGTTTTGATTTTTCTGTTTGCTTTGGAGTAACTTAACTGAAAACAATGCATCTGTGTAGCTTCGTGTATTGTTGAAGTCTCATTTGTAACACAAGCAATGATTAATTTGAATTATTTTAAAATGGAAATAGAAGTGCAATTGGGATATAACTGAAACTTCAAATTGGTACCATCAAATACTTTCTTTCATTGCATGTTGAGACTTGATTTTTTCCTGAAAAAGAACAAATAATTTTCTTTTCAAATATATCATTCTACATTTCTCTAGATCAGTGTAGCCTAGGAATATGAATACCTACTATGGGGAAAAGAAATTAATTTACAAGATACAGAATGTCTCTTTCAGAAGCTTAAAGTTCTGTAACGCACTGCGTTACAGAAATCAATGCATGCTCAACAGCTTTTTGCAGTTAAAAGCCATAATTCAGTTCTTGAAACAGCTCTTCTATCGAGTTCAGAGGCTGTCACCACAGTTAGGAATGTTTAAAAAATACACTACTGTTTATGCTACAAAACATGCTGCATAACAATGCTCTGTAATATGTTTGCAAGCAAAGAACGTTCTTACCTTGGATGCATCTGTGTTGTCAGCATTGTGCTTCATACCTGCATTTGAGGTACTTTCTTCTCTCCATGTTAAGTGGTCCTCTTGTAGTGTATATGGATTTATGTCTGGCAGTACTAATGCATAAATAGGGAATTACACCTTTATATCTCTTCGTTAACATAGCTGCTGCCAGAAGTATGACTTGTTCACCTAGTGTGAGTTCTCAGTTTTCAGTGCGTTTCTTCATATGTATTGCACTTCATTTTTATGAAACTGTTTGGTTTTTTTCTAATCCATTTCCCCTGGATTATTAAACATCTCTTAATATGTAAAATTGAAAAATATTTTTTCTTCTAAATGGTATCAACACACTTCTAGATATTCCATCTGTGTGTTTGAGAGGGCATGCCTATTAACTTTGAAGTTTAATTAGGTTTTTCCCCTCCGTCACTCTGTTCTATTTATCTGCTAATTTGTCTCTCAGTTAATTTAGTTCACAGAAGAAACCATAATATTCTTAGTGTAGTTGTGCCAAAGTTCTGTTGAGAAAACAGTATGTCCTAGCTTGGCATCATTCCCAAGTTGTGCTAGCTAATTTTGCAGCCTTGCTGAGTTGCAAACTTGGTAAGCAAACTATATGTTATTTCTCCTAGTTTTTAGATTTATCCTCATTCCCCTGTTGTCTGAATAATTTGCTGGATATTGGCATGTTTCCAAAGTTCTGCACAAGCTCCTAATTTTTCCTTTATTATTTTCTTGTTATGTTTATAAATTGTATGATAATGTTGTTCAGCTGTCTGGTTCAACTTCTAGTTCATTGCTCATTTCACTTATTCTTTCTTCTTTTAGAATGAGTTGTAAAAAATATTTCTGAGCTGTTAAAATGAAATAAATGTTAGCTTTATGTTAGCTTTTTAACACTCTTCAGTTTGGTGAGCTGTGTTCACTGCTTTTGGTCAGTGCATTTTATGCCTGTATGCATTTTAGTCCAAGTCAGCTTCAACTGTTGTCTCTGTTATGCTTTCAGATGTTTTTCTGAAAATGTTTTATGTGCTAACTTTGTTAAAATACTCAACTATTACAACAAGGTGTTGTTTTTTTTTTTCATGCTGTTGTTTTGCTTCTTGCTTTATCTACAGAGAGCTGTGTTACCAAAGTAAATGTTGTGATGTATTCAGAATTTCTGTATCCTAGGGAGAATTCTTCCCCTGAAGTTGTTTCTTTGGCAGGAGTATATGAGTATGTTCTAGTTGGGGTTGGCTAAAGAGCCCAGAAGCCAGAGGGAACTTCAAGGATGTATTTAAAACATAGAATGTCTTCTCCTGTATTACAGTGTGTATCTTGAGCTCCTGTCTTTTGTAACTTCCCAACTAGTTGGAAAGCTGTGTGGATGATCTTGTAGATGAACATCTTCACTAACTGAAGAGATTTAGTGCTGGGATTGTTGTCATGATTGCATGGAGTTTTAGGCTGAATGATAGCTCAGTCTGGTGCGGGGGTTTTCAAAATATGCTGTTGAAATGGAGAAGTTGGGCAGTGTCATGTCCTATCCTCATAAACTACAATTTGGAAGTTTCCCAATAATGAAGTTTATTTTTTGGAATGCTAAACTTTTCCCAAAAGGGAATGATGTTGTCAAACCTGCAAAAGTATTGATGTGAAAATACCTTGCTTGCAGATCAGTTTGTTTCAGTGGGTCTTTAGCTCCCTAATGCATTTTTAATTTCAAGATCGTACTTAAATTTGACTGCAGTTTTGTCAGAAGTCTGACGTCTTGTTGGAATATGTTGCCCACTTTTTAATAAATATGTCAAATTATATATTATAAGCCAAATCTTTCAGCCATTCTTGAAGTAAAACTGTACTGTGGTGAGGGCTGTATGATTTGGTATCTTCCTTCTATCATGTATAATTACAACACAGTAGATTGTTAACAGTGCTGTACACTGTAACTGGTATTAGAACTGTTAATTAAAACATGTTCTCTCTAATGGAGTATACTGCACTTCATTGAAATCATTAGGATGCATCTTTTATGTAGAGGGGCTCTTTCTATTGATGGATATGACTGAGATCAAGTTGTGTAGGATGTTAATGAAGCCATGTGTACAAGGCCTGTGTATCATAAATTTTATAAAGATATACCGAGCACTTACTCTTTGTGTTATGAAGTATAAGCCATTTATATTTAATATAAAGGATGAAGTTTATTTAGTTTACTAGTTTTATTTATGGTAGGAAATCTTGACTTTGGAAATTATTTCTGTAGTAGGGAAAATGTAAAATCTTTCCATTTTTATCATTGTGAAATAAATTCCAGTCAGTATTTGGGCAAGTACTAAATGCTTTTTCCATAGTTACATGAAAGAAGTAAAACTTTCATATGCCGTGAAACAGGCACTTTAGAGGCTTCCTGCAAATCACAGAATGGTTAAGGTTGGAAAGGACCATGAAGATCACCAGGTTCCAACCTCCCTGCTATGAGCAGGGACACCTCACACTAGACTAGGCTGCACAAAGCCTCATCCAACCTGGCCTTAAACACTTCCAGGGAGGGGGCTTCCACAGCCTCCCTAGGCAACCTATTCCAGCACCTTACTACTCTCATGGTGAAGAATTTCTTCCTGATATCTAACCTAAATCTCCCCTCTTCCAGTTTAAAATCATTGCCCCTTCTATCCCTACCCTCTCTGGTGAAAAGCCTTTCCCCAGCTTTCCTGTAGGCCTCTTCATGTACTGGAAGGCTGCTATAAGGTCTCCCCGGAGCTTCACTGTAGAGAAAACTTGAGATAATCTGGGCAGAGATGCTGAGAGAGAATGGGGTGTACATGTAATAAAGGTAGACTTACCCCTTCAAGCAGTTTAAAACAATAAAAGGCTGCTTGTCTCCACAAAGTCATTGCAGAGTATAGTTGGGAAGTTAATGAACAAATGGAAATACACAGTAGATGGAGTGCTGTATGGAGCTGTATTTGGTGACTTGAGGGTATAAGAATAGCAATACTCTATAGTAATTTGTTAGATTATATTTTATGAAAAACTTTTTGAGTAATGTTCAGTTTCTATTTACTTTCAGCCCTGGCATCCTGGAGGAGATAATTGTGAGGAGAATCTGTCCAGAATCAGCAGAGTAAAAAAAAATTACAATCTACTCTTGTGTTAAACTTTATGAAATAAAATATGAAACCACTGGTGTATGTGAAGAAGGTGACTCTCAAGAAGTTTTCAGAATGTTTGTTGATTAACTTGGAAATGGGATTCTTTGAAGGGTGATAGCTGTAGAATAGATTAGTTCCACCCCCCCTTTTTTGTTCTTTTCATTACTCACCACTCATGTTACTGCCATTTGCCTTTGGATTAACAGGTTTTATTCTCTTTTGAGAGAAACAAGTGCCTTTGATGTAGCTGATTAAAGGTGATTTAAACAAGGTACTTGTATAGTTCAATTAACATCCACAAAGTAAATCAGCAGATAATGGTTTTCTCTTAGTTCCAATTACCAGAAAAGAGTAAGACATTGCCT